CCGGGAAGGGGGTTATGCACCCCAGGAAGGGGCTGATCCACCCCAGGGCTCCGCGGGAGCGGCCCCGCCTGGCCCCACCCCGTCCCCCGCCAGACCCCACGGAGCCCCGCTGGCGTCACCTCCCGGGCCGTGTGGGAGCCCCGGCGAGGCCCCCCTGCCCCGGTCCCCGCCGGTTCCCCCGTCCCTCACCAGGCAGGCGGCGAGCACGGCCCGCAGCGCCTCCAGCCGCTCCTCGTCGCTCTCCTCCTCCCGCAGCAGCCCCTCGATGTAGGCGCCGTACACGGCGCGGTCCAGCCCCAGCGCGTCCAGCCGCGCCGCGAGCCAGGCCGGGAACGGCGGCGGGGCCGGGATCGGGATCTGGTTCGGGATCTGGTTCGGAATCGCGGCCGCGGCCGCCCCGCCGGGCGCCGCCATCTTGGGCCTGCGGAGGGGTGGGGGAGTACGGCGGCCGCAGGGGGACAGAGTTGTGGCGGTGGCGGGAGCCGCGGGGCCGGGGGTCGGGGTCGGTGCCCGAGGGGAGCGGCGGGACCGGGGGGTGATTCCGAGTGCCCCCGGTGCCCCCGGTGCCCCCGCACGGCTCCTCCTCCCCCCGGGCAGCGGCGGGGCCCCGCGCGGCCGCCGTGCGGGGCGGGGCGGGCGGCGGAGTTTAAACGCGAACAGGCGGCGGGACCGAACCCCCCTGAGAGCGCCATGGCGGGCCCGGCCCCCGCCGCCGCCCGGCCCCTCCGAGGACAGTCCTTCTACCTCGACCTGCCCGGCGGGAGGAGCGCCCGGCACCTGGCGGAGGCCATCGAGCGGCTCGGCGGGGTGAGGGGGGACCGGGCCCGGCGGGTCCCGGAGCCGAGGAGGGGGCCTGGGGCGGGAGGGGGCTGGGAACTGGGGGGGTCCCGGGTCTAGGGGTGGCCCGGGGAGGGGGAACCGGGATTGAGAGAGGGGGTCCCGGGAGCTGGGGGGGAACGGGACTGGGGGGTCCCCCGGGGACGGGGGTGGAGGGGGGTCCCCGGGATGCGCTCACCCCGCTCCCGGGACCCCCGGGGGTCTCAGTGGCTGGGGACTGCGGTGGCCCCCCCACCCTTCTCGCCCCTTTTCTTTCTCTACTGTTTTTAAAAAAACTTTTTCTGAGTTTCTCCCTTTTCCCGGTGGTTTGGTGTTGTTCCCCTCCCCGGTCCTTTGGCAGCCGGAGCCCCTCGGGGTGCGGGGAGATCGTCCCCCATCCCTGTCCCCCCCATCCCCGTCTTTGCAGTTTGACAAAACATCTTTCTACGATCTTGACATTAACGACATTTCAGTCCATCACACCCCTCCATCCCCGTGCCCTCCAGCCCCCGAGGGTCCCTCGGGGGTCTGTGGGTACCACCATCCTGCTCGGGACCAGCTCCGTGCAAACCTCTCCCTCCAGCTTCTCGGTGGTTCCCGGGCTGCCTGGTCCGGCCAGCACCGTCTGGGGGGTGGTGGCCACCATGGGAGCAACTTCCAGACAGTGGTAACCAGTTCCCTGGCCTCGGAGGTGCCTTCCAGACAGGGGTGACGGGTCACTCGGTCCTGGCAGCGCTTTCCAGTATGTGGGAACTGGTTGCCCAATCGTGGGGGCACCTCCCAGGTGGTGGTAACTGGTTACCTGGTGATGGAAGCATCTTCCAGTCAGTGATAACTGGTTGTCTGCACATGGGGAACACCCTTTAGGTGATGGTAACTGGCTACCCCTCGCTCACAACAGCCTGTGGTAGCTTAATTTTTTTAGGGAAGCTGTGGGACTTCCACATGGAATTCAGCATAGGGTAAAAGTAGGGAAGCACCAGCCAAGGCTCTTGTGCTTTTCTTGTGGCTTTCCCAGAAAAACCATCTGGACCCTTTTCCCTGTGAAGCTGTTGTTTGAGTGGATCCATGTGATGTCCTTCATGGCCTCCAGGCTTCCTTGCTGCTTATATTCCTCACGAATTCCTTATATCCTCTCTCAAGACCCTTCACAAAGTAGCATCGCCTCAGTCCCTGAGCTGGGGCTGAGCACGGGGGCTGTACCTGGTTGTTCATCAGGTTCATCTCTGTGTCTTTGCTGTGCACAGTCTGGTCCCAACAGTTGTTACTATTTGCTTTCAAGCTCTTTGGTCTCTCTGAGGTGATTGTCTGATGTCACCCCAACATTTAAATCCTTTAATGTACACACAGAGGTGAAATCTTCATTCTTGTCGCTGCTGTATCTGCTGCCAGGGTCATGTGTTGACTGCACAGACACGTGGGGAAGTGCAATGCCTTGCACTGTTTTCCCTTTTCGTAATTGCACCACTATCCTGAACTCAGTGGTTTGTCTCTGCCCTCCCCTGGCTGTGCCATCCACACTCAGGGACACTCTGCTCACAGCATCTCATCTAGTTGTGCGTCTTCAAGTCTGAGAACCGGCAGTCAGTTCTTTATCCATGTAACTGCCCCTTGGAAATAATTTTAGCCTTCTTTTGTCCTTCTGATTCCTATCAAACACCATCCTGGTTCACCTCACTGTCTGAAAGGAGGCACACAGGGAGTGGAGTTCTCATTCCTCTTGCTTCTGTGGAGATCCTGAACCCAACTCCACCACAGCCACCAACTGTGAAGCACCTCTTTGGCAGCACTATCGCAGCCCAGGTCCTGTGTGATGTTCAGGGCACAGTTAAGGGCATCTTGTGGCCTTGGACTTGCATGTGGCTCCTTGAGCTTCACCTTGGCACGGGGCTGGTGACACCCTGGAGTGGTATTTGGACGAGGATGTTGGGATTTCCTCTGTTCTGTGCTTCCAGCCTCATTGAGCTCCTGTAACACAGGTCACTCTTGCAGGGCAGCCTCCACTGTCCCTTTGGCACTTCCCATGGGTGGGTCTGGGATCTTGATCTGTGGGGATTCTGTAAAGGAGCAGAACCAGCTTGTTCAGCACCTGAAGTTTTGGACTGCCCAGATCTTTGTCTTCCTGGAGGCCTCATACCCATGTGTTAGTGTCTGCCTTCTGCTCAGCTTCTGAGAAGCCAAGTCATTATGGCCTTATAATACCATTAGTGTCCCAACTTCTGGTTTCCAGCTCTTCCTTGGACTGGTAGCTCCTGTGTGTGTTCTGGTTCCCTCCTGCCCTGTTCTGTGTGGAGCTGCTCGTACCAGCTGTTCCCTTTCTCCTTTATTTTGCTAAAACACATCCTGTTCTCCTGAGGACAGAGCTCCTCCGCCCTGACTCACAATGTCCAGGGCCTTTTTCTCAACTATTGCCTTTTTCTGAAACCACTGCTTGAGGAGTAGGTGATGGTGGACAGTTGTGGGTGTCTGGATCTGAAGGTTTTGGTGACTCTCTGCTGTGCATGTCCGGGGCCTGCGCTCCCTGAGCATGACAGTGTCTGCTCCTCCTGGGAGACAGCAGTGTGGAATGGAGGAAAGAATGCTTGTAGGCATGAGTGCTTCCAGCAGCCCCTCAGTGTGTGGGGGGTTAAACTAGAGGCAGTGGTTTTGTTTAGCAGGGCCCTTTCAGCTTACAGTTGGACACTTTCAGAGCTTCTCTGTTCTGTGTCTGCAGGTGACCGAGAGCTTCCTCAGCAAAGAAGTCACGTACGTGGTGTCCAGCAACAAAGAGGCCAAACGGGACAGAGCCAGGACTGGGGATGGGAAGCAGAGCAACCCAACTTCAGGAGACACCAAACCCACGAGCTCAGGGCCTGCTGCCTTCAAAGGGAACCCACCCAGACCTCACCAGAAGCCACCAGACACTGTAAGAGCTGTAAAGGCTTTGGCCACCTCCAAGTTCGTGCCAAGGGGTCTGTAGAGTACAACCGGTGTTGGGAGGTGAAGTCAGTCCTGCTCTGGGGTCTTTTGCCCTGCTCTGGCTGTTCCTGTTTGTGCCTGTGTTCCTTTTATCTGCCATCATTCTCCTCTCAAATGTGCATGTCACAGCTTTGGGATGGGATCAAGGAAATCTGCTGGAATGGCAGAGGAAATGGAGGGCTTGGCTGGCTTCCCCAGGGAAGGGCAGAGGTGTGGCTGGAGAAGCCAGAGAACTGTTGACCAGATAAAACCATTGCAGGCTGTGGATGTGTATTCACAGACACAGGGCAAGGCCACTGTAACCTGGGAGGAGACCCACAAGGGATCTCCTCCAACAAGGGGTTTTTCTGGATCTTGTTTACCCTGTCAGAGCTGGGCTTTCTGCTCGGCAGTGCTTGAGGCCAAACGCCAACATCCTTCTTGGAAAGTGGAGTCTGCTGGAAGCTGTGACTGGGGAGAGGCTGCTGCCCCACTCCAGGCCCGAGGCATCTCTGCCAGCCTGGAGCTGGACCCCCTGCAGTGGGAAACCTGAGCCTCAGGGGCTGCACCCAGTGTTTGTCCCTGCCCTTGCTCACAGCACTGTCCCCTTGTCTTACCAAGAGCTGAACTGGTCTGAGCCCACTGGCTTGCCAATGAGACTCTGTTCCCAGGAAGGGAAGTGAGAATGTTTCTAACCCTGGCCAGCATGCTGGGATACCTGGAGAAAAGGAGGCTCAGGGGGGATCTTACTTGTTCAACTCCCTGACAGAGGGTGGAGCCAGGTGGGGGTCAGTTCCTTCTCCCAGGTAATAAGTGACAGGACAAGACCGAATGGCCCCAAGTTGTGCCAGGAGAGGTTCAGGCTGGATATTTGGGAAAATTTCTCCACTGAAAGGGTTGTTCAGGCCTTGAAACAGGCTGCCCAGGGCAGTGGTGGAGTCCCCATCCCTGGAGGGATTTAAAAGCTGTGTGGATGTGGCACTTGGGGACACGGGTTAGTGGTGGCCTTGGCAGTGCTGCAGGAATGGTTGGACTGGATGACCTTAGAGAGCTTTTCCAGCCTGAACAATTCCATGATGCAGCAGCAGTTTCCAAGCTAAATCACTGCTTCCTCTTGGCTCACTCTGGAGCCTTCACTGCTGGTCGATAATTCCAGGCCTTGGCTGGTGCTGTGAGTGCAGAGCCAGTGGGGCTCTGCGGGTTTGCTCCCTGGAAGTGCTCATTCCCACTGCCTGTGAGAGGAGCCTTGGCCAGGCCCTGCTCCCCAGCAGTGTGGGGGTGTCCCCAGGAATCATTCCCACTGCCATAACCTGGGCTGTGTCTCCTCTCTCCAGGCCCTGCTGAGCCGGGGGAAGGAGCTGCTGCAGAAGGCCATGAAGAACCAGGTGAGCAGCACGTGGCCGGGCTCCCCTCAGGTGGGGTGTGCTCAGAGCTCTGCTGAGCAGTGCAGAACCAGTGCCAGCCCTCCTGCAGAGCCCCTGCCCTGCTGACAGGGCACATCCTGGGGCCAGGAAAGGCACGGAGCAGTTGCTTGTGGCCTGCAGAATGTTGTGTAATCCTCCTGTCACTGCTCCTTGTGGAGCTGTGCCATCCGTCCTGGATGGGCGACATCCAACCTCTGAGGCCTGTCCCAGCAATCTGGGTGCTCAGGACAAGAGAATTATTGTTAGATGAATTTTTAGCCTAAAAAGAATTAAAGCCACATAGCTGGGACAAAAGGCTCCCTGCAGTCCTTTCCCTGATGTCACTCCAAACCAATCTCAGTGCCCACTTAGAAGCTCATGCTGTAACAGGGATTAAAAATTTGCCCCAGGTGCTGCTGTTAATTTGGGATTGATAAAGCATGAGTTCAAACCTTTTCTGCTGTGTCCTGATTTTAATAACAGCTATGCAGTGGTCTGTCAGTTGGGCAGCAGGAAAAAAAAAACCCTAAGTCTAAGCTCAATTTAGAGCTGCACATGTCCCTGCTCTGAGCTGTGCTTTGCCAACCCTCTCTGTGCAGGACACCTGCAGTGGCAGCAGCATCCTCGCCAACGCTCGCCTGTGGGGAGTCCAGATCCTGCACGTGGATGGTATCCTTAACTGGGGGTGGAACGAGGCTCTTGGAAATCAGGGATCTGTGAGACAGGTGGAGCAGGAGTGATGTCAGGAGTGTGGAACAGAAGGGAGAGGCTGCAAGCAAATATACTGGGCTGATGCCGTGCTGGCTGAGGCTGGGTCTGACCCCCAACAGCAGGTTAATTTTGTGTACAGAACATCCCCCTGCCAGCAGCAAACATGGGGTACATCCTCATGTACTGAACCTGTAACATTGAAAATGTTGATAGCTTGGTCAGTGCATCAATTTGCTCCAAAAAGACCATTTTTACTAATTAACCTGGAAGCACAGATCACGATAAGGGCAGGGTTTGGTCGGTTTTAATTAGGCAGTGCTGGTGTTTGAGGGCCTGTGCTGGAAGGCTCTCCCTGTCCCCGTGATGGATGGGGAGGGGGTGATGGGCAAGACAGATGGTGGGACTCTGGTTCTAATAATAGGTCTGGAGTAAAAGGTTCCTGAGTGTCTGGTGACAGTGACATACAGCCTGTCTGGAGCGTGGTGCAGGCGCTGCTGCCCTGTCCCTGAGCTCTGCTGAGCCACGGAGCCTGGCAGGGCTGGCAGACCCGGGGCTGCTCTCCGTGCTGCAAACCCCTGCCACTGTCTGCTCTCTGCAGAGCCCCACAGCCTCCAGCTCTGCCAGAGAGCAAAGGGGGGGCTGTCCCTCAAAGTGTCTCTTGGCTTCATCTTGGGCCAGTTCCCTGGGTGGGGGATGGATTCTCTACCAGGGCTTCAGGCTCCAGCATTCCCGGTGCCGTGGGCGACTGTGCTGAGTGAGAGGGGAACAGCTCCCTGCCCTTGCTGAGCTCTGGCTCCTTGACATCCCACCTGCACAGAAATGTTGTCCTATGCCCAGCAGCTGCTGGAAGCCATCTCGGGAGTGAGGAAACACTGCCAGAAGACGGAGGTAACAACTTAACTCCGGCCAATTTCGGGAGCTCACGGCCCCTGGGTAGCTCTGAACAATCCTTGTAGCTCCTCCAGTGCCAATGGGCCAGTCAGGAGGGTGATCCCAGTGCTGGATCCCGTCCAGCACTGGGCAATCTAGTGCTTCTGTTTGGTGAGGGAGATGACAAAATTCAAAGAATTTTTCCTTTTATAAAGTTGGGGATAAAGTCAGATGAGAATGAGGCAGCTGTTTCATAACTATTAACATCTGTAGCACAGCTAATCCTGAATTTGGCTCACAAGGGACGAAGGGTTTGTCATCTTCCAACCTCAGATGGCAACTTGACCCCACAGAGTCACTCTCATCCCCCCAGGTGGGATTGGGAGAGAACTGGGAGAGGAAAAACTGAGAGAACTCATGGATTGAGATAGAGATGATTTAATAGGGAAAGCAACAGCCACACATGCAAGCAAAGCAAAATAAGGAGGTGATGTGGCTGGTAAACTGGCTTCCTGAAGGATTTTTAATGCCTTGGGGAGGTCAGGGGGAGGGTGGGATGCAAGGCCTGTGTGTTCTATTTAAACTAAGTCTGGGTAACTTGGGAGACAAAATGAGGGGAAGTGTTCTGGGTGGTGATGCAGGAGCTCTGGGATGGTGGGTGAGGCTGCTGCTGGTCTGGGATGAGGAACTGCAGCTCTGCCTGTGCTGTTCCCGTGCTAAATGTGTCCCTTTCTCCTCCAGGGGAAATGCCTTGCCTCTGGATCCAAAATTCACAAAGGTAGGCCTGGAAGTTGTGCTCCTGTTTGTGCTCAGATGTGGAACTGCTTGCAGAAGCCTCATTTAGAATTTGAAATCCATCTGGAGCTTCAGCAATCCCAAAATATGCCAACTCTTATGGCAGTTTGCCTTGAAGGGGTTCTGTTACTCCTTGTCGGAGTGGGAGTGGCTGCAGCCACAGCTGAGGACCTTTGATTTCGGGGCAGTGTTCTTAAAAATCCCGTAAACCCTTTTCTGCCAGCTCCCAGAATCCTGAGGCACCTGAGAACTGTGTTATTGCACACTGAATCCAGCAGCTCAGAGGAGGTTTCGAGGAATATAATGCATCCTACAGAGGAGAGCGTGTTCCTCCAGCCCACTCACTGCTGTTGGGCTGAGATGTGCTGCTGAGACACCAATCCTGGGAGAACGCTTCCAAAGGGAGGAGGGAGGGGGGAACAACCAGGTCCTCATCTGCAATTAGACCAGAGCCAATTGTGGGGCTGAGATTGGCACTGCTGACGTCAGTTCATCTGGGCCCTGTGTGACTCCGCGCTGGAGAGCGAACGCAGGGGAACATCTTGGAGCAGCCTCCAACCTGGATTGTGTGTGTGACACCTGGGAGGTTATTTCCCAGTTTGGGGTGGGGAGAAGGTGCTGAAAAAAGGCTGGAGAAGCTGTTGGATAAGGCAGATCATGCTGCAGGCTCTGAGCTGTGGCACACTCTGAGCCTGGCCTGGGGACTCGCAGTGACAGCAGAGCTGTTTGCTCGGGCCTGTGCACCCGCCTGAGCTGGAGCTGGGACCTCAACACGGCCTCACCCTCAGAAGTGCTGAGCATTTGGCAGCATTTACGCAGGAAAAACTCGATCCAGCACTGAAATAGCTGCTGGGGTGACGTAGCAGCACATTTAATGCAAGTGGAGGGTGAGGCTCGAGGAGCTGCTGGTGAGGACAGGTGGGCTCAGCCTTTCTGGGGAAGGAGGGTGAAATATCTCTGGAAAAAATAGCTCTGAGTGCCAGGATCATGAGAAAACAAACCTCCTCGCCCTTCAGAGGCAGCAAGGGAGGCAGGAGAGGCTTGGTTTCAGGGTCAGGCAGACTCCCTGTGGGAACACCTTGGGGCTTATTTGTTTCTTAGGCAGATCAGTACTCGGGTTTCCAAGGTGAGTAATGTTATCACTTGTGAGAGGAACATACCTGTGGGGCAGGAGGGACCTGGGATCTTCTCCCCCCAGCCTGGCTCTGAAAACCTTTTCCCTCAGTGCACTGCTCTTCTGCTCCCTTCATGCATTTTATGGCTCTGTAGGAAGCAAAGCTGCTGTTTGCCCTCCTCAGGGACGAGTGAAGGCCAGATTCTGCTCTCGAGTAGTGTTCTGGTGCCAGGCTTGGCTGTGCAGCACCTTGGTTTGTCTCCAGCAGCTCTTACTGCTTTGATTTCACCATCCTGGCCTGAGCTGGTTTGAGCTCCAGGCTCTTGTTTCAGGGTGGGTGGAGGAAAAGGTGAGGGAAGGTTGGTGCAGAGCTCTGAGCCTGTGCTGCTGCTGCAGTTTGTTGCTGGTGACCTCCTCCCTCGTGTGCCGTGGCCACACCGAGGAGAGGATGTGACAGTTCTTAGGGCTCGAGTCAGAAGGCTCAGGGTTGGGCCAGTGTAAGGCTGGGGAGGCATTAAGGGTGTGAGGGTTGGCTGGTTGCTTTTCCAAAGGTGGACATGTCCCATTGTTGGGCTGCTTTGGGGTTTGGTCCCCCCACTGCACACTCTGAGGGCTGTTGAAGAATCACCCAAAGAGCTGGTTTAGCTGTGCTCAGCCATCACTTGGCATTCACCAGTGTCAGAAGTTCTGATGAGCTCAGCTCTGTAGCCCAGTTCTGTTGGGAAATGAGTGACTAAGTTGGGAATTGGGCCACGAAAACTTCTAACCACATTTCTCTCTAGGAGGAAGGCTGAAGCCCCCTTTTCTGAAGGTTGAAGACCAGAGCAGGTAAATGCAACCTTTCTAAATAACATACCTTAAAACCTGGGGGGCTCCCAGGGAGGGAATCCTTCACTGGTTTCATTCCCAGTGACTGTTCTGCCCACAGGGCAGACCCTGTTCCACACTGGGAAGCTGACCCTCTCCTAGAGGGAGGCAGGTGGAGTTTGGAGAAACAATCCAGGTGGCTCGTGTGTCAGGGGAAAAAAGGTGTTAAACGAGACTTGACAACAGTTTCCTTCCTTGCTCGGGTTCCATGTGTGATCCTTGTCAGGTCACTTAATCCACTCGAGCCCCGTGCATTGAGGAAGGAGATTGAAGCACAGGAGGTCAGGGCCTGTAACTTGATTACAGCCCTCAGCACAGGGGACCTGATCCTGTGGTGTTTCTGACAAGCCTGTAACTCTAACAGTATCCGCTGGGCCAATTAATTATCCTGAAGGCAACACTTGGGGCAACTCAGAGTCAAATATTCGGTTTTATGTGCTACATGCACTGAAGTGTGAGGGGAGAGATGTGGTCTGGGAACCAAAACCATCCTGTGCTGCTGTAGCCGGAGATGCTGCCCTGCTGTGCCCCAGGGCAAAAGCTGGGGTTTGGCTGGGCAGGCAAACCTGCCTCCTGTCCAGAACATGCCCCATCAGGGCCGTTACTGGGAATCTCGTTTAAGAAAGGGCAGTTCTGGCACATCCAGAGGAGAGCAATGAGCAGTGTCTCTTCATAAATGGGACAGCACCTTGAGCCCCTCTGTGGGGGGCACAGCTCTGTGACCAAGCTGTCCCTGCCAGGAGACTGATGTCCTGATCTGCTGCTTTCAGGCAATTCCGGCCCTTCCATCACCAGTTCCAAAGCTTTCCTGACCTGAACTTCCTGGCTCCCAAAAGCTCCAGCCCATTTGAGCCTCTGAAAAGCCTCTCGAATTCCTGCCAAGCCAGGTAAGATGTAGCTCCTTCTGCGCAAGTTTTTAACCCAACTCTCCTTCTCACTGATGATTCCTGGGATCTGGGAGCCTACTGCCTTCTGGATGGGGGCACAGGGAGCCCTGTGCTGGGTTCAGAGGCAGCACAGTCCCTGCTGGTGCTGCCAGGGCAGGGTGACCTTTGCTGTCCCTCCCAGGGGGGCAGGAGGCCGTGCCCTGCGCAGTGACGGAGGGAAGAGCCCCCGCTCCACCCCAGTGCCCAGGAAACGGAGGGGATTCTGTGAGTGCTGCCAGGAGACCTTCGAAGAGCTGCACAAGGTAAAGGTTCCACTGGCATCCAATTCCTTGCCAAAGTTATGGGGGTCACTCAGTGGCTTTTGTCAATCATGTCATGCCCGTTAGCACCATGAACTCCTTCAGAAGGAACCGTTCTATCCAGGTTGTATCCCTTGTGGTATCCAGTAGGATCTGCCTTGTAGATGGGAACATGGTATATCTCTGCTCTGACCTGGTCTGGGCACACTGTTTTTGAAGATTGGAGCATGACATGCTCATCTCTTGGGCTGGGAGAGCCTCAAGAATCATCCTGTTCCCTGATCCATAAGGTGAGGAGCCTGTTCCATGGCAGTCATGGGGCACAGGCAGATTTGAAAGTTGGGAAAAGGTTTTTTTATCTCCTGGAAGGTGCCAAATAACGTGGCTTTCAGAGCCCAGCCTTCATTGACAGACAGTCTTGTTGGAGTCTGTCTTCCCTGCTGCTGGGGAGGCTGTGGCTGCTGTTGGGTGTGGACACAGCCTCCTCATCCAGGGGTGTCTGGGAATGGGACCCCCCCACAACCAGGGGGGACAGTGTGGCCAAGGGGTCCAAACCTGCTCCCAAACAATGGCTCTAGTTTGCCCTCTAGTCTGTCAGGCTGTGGGAAGTGCCTGTTACTGCAAATTCCCCTCCTGGGAAAACTTTAAATGTTGCTAAAGGGCCTCTGCCCCCCTCCAGCACCTCCAGAGCTCCCGGCACCAGCGCTTTGCCCAGGATGACTCCCAGTACATCCCCGTGGATCATGTCATCTCACAGATCACCAGCAGCTTCGTGCAGTGCTCAGACAGGTAAGTCTGGGGGTCTGGTAACTCCTGGAGCCCAAAACAGCAGGATGGTCCATGGCACACTCATGGGAACGGGGTCCCTGTGCCAGGGAATTGGGCAGCCAGAGCAGAGGTTGCAGCAGGACCAACCTGGACCTGCCAGGCAAAGCTTAGACAAGCCATAGGAGCTGTTCTTGCATTTCCATGGGTTTGCTGCTTCAGGGAACTCCCCGTGGACTTCTAGTGCCTCCTAAACTACAAAAGGGTAGCTGAGCCCACCCCTTCTGTCCCCATGTCTGACACAAACCCCACGGCTCTGTAGCAGCCCTGTGCCCAAGCCCTGGGCTGTGGGGAGGCTGAGATCCCTCATGCTGCCCATCTCCCCTGCCAGCAGCAGTGTCACTGCTGAGCCTCACCAGGCTGAAATTCCTCCCCTGCTCCTGAGCAAGGGCTGCAAACACCGTGTGCTGCAGGAGAGGCCTCGTCTCGCTGGGGGAGGGTGTTGCTGGGCCTGGATGAGCATTAACTGATGGTTCTTCTCAGGGTGCCACAGTCCTGCCTGGCAGATGAACATTTAGTGCCTCAAGCACATGTTATTGGAGGAGTGGAGATGCTGACAGAGCTGGGAAAGGAAAGGGAGCAGCCTGAGCAGGGTGCTGTGGAACTGGTAATGGATATGGAGCAGGATCACGACCTGAAAATCAAGGGATGTTCCCCCTGCCTGCCTGGGGACAGGGTCAGAGGTCCCAGAGAAGGAGGGGGGCTGTCAGAACACAGCTCTGCTGGGCTGCCCAGGGGAGCAGAGCTCAGGGGGCAGGTCTGTGCTGCCCCTGGCACCACGGAGGGCGCTGGGCTGGGGGGTGCAGGTCTGGGCTCGGCCCCTGCCCCAGGCTGGGAATCCTGTGCAGGGGCTGCTCCTGTCACACAGGCAGTTGCTCCTGCATCTGAACCTCGTGGCCAGCAATTGCCTGGGTCTGTGAGCCACCCCCCAGAGGCACTGCCTGTCCCCAGGAAGCGCCTGCTGTCCCCCAGCCAGAGCTGCCAGGTGGGGAAGAGGCCCAGGCTGGAGCAGGGGGAGCAGGAGGACCCGGTGCGTGGTGGGCTGGGGGCACAGGGTGCAGGGCAGATGTCTGAGCCAGGCCTGCCCGGTGTGACAGAGGCTGGCAGGCTGTCCCTGCACACACAACTCTGCAGCAGACCTCGTGGCTCCCTGGCTTTGGATCCGTGCCTGGGCAGGAGCCCTGGGGACCCGGGATCCCTGGGAGCTGTGGATCCTGCAGGAGCCGCTCCAGCCAGCACCGTCAGCGAGCGTGGCTGGAGCGGGGCGAGTGTGAGATCCCAAGGGCAGCAGCTCCAAGGGGACTGTGCCACCCCCGGGAATGGGAGCAGCCTGGATCTGGAGAGCACAGTGAGCAACGGGAGCAGCTGCCCCGCTGGCCGCCCGCCCTCTCCCACACCGCCCGGGGCTGGGGCCAGATGTTGCTGCTCAGTCTGTGTCAGGGCGGCAGAAAAAGCAGCCCCCGAAGCTCCTGAGCTCCCCGGGCACAGCACAGAGCGGGCATCGTGCCCTGGGCTCCTTCCCCCTCCTGCCCAGAGCACACAGAGCACACGGGCTGTTCCCGGCGTCGGCAGGAGCTCCTCCGAGTCAGAGTGGGATGTGCAGCTGCTCCCCCTGCCAACGGGTGTCCAGGGCAGCAGGATCCCAGCTGTGGACAGGGACGTGCTCCAGAGGACACACGGCAGGGGCAGGGACAGCGGGTACGAGTCCCGGCTGTGCTCAGTGCTCCGGCGGGACCTGGAGCCGGGCTGGGCGGGCCAGGAGAGCGGGAGCTGCCGGACCTGCTGCACGGACACCAGAGGAGCCCCTTTCCCTGTATTTGAGACATTTTGTGGCAGCTGGACAAGCTAAAACCACCTCCTGGCTGCTCTCTGGACCAAAGTGGGAGATGAGAAGGGGCTGGAAAGGGATTTGGCCAAGCCAGCCTCCATGTCAGGACCAGGAAGCACATCCAAGAGCTGGAGTGAGGACCATCAGCGTGAAGTCGGCACCACCAGCAGCTTGGAGACTGCCTTCTGCTGTTGGGAACTGGTGGGGATGCAGTGTCTTCACTGGCTGTGTTCTGGGCTGGGATCTTCCCTCCTCTCTGCTAGCCATGTTTAGAGCCAGCAGCTTCCTCTAGCTCCTCATGGAGCTGCTGACACAGTGGTCCCTCTGGAAGTCTCTCTTCAGCAGGAATATGTTCTTTGCCCTTCCAGAGTGAAAGCAGGTGCCAAGACTTGGGAGGGGAGGGTCATGGGGGTGAGATTTTTGCTCCTCACGTGGTTTGGGGGGTTTGTCTTTGAGAATTTACAGATGTTTTTCACATGGTTTTAACATGGTTGGTTTGGTGTTTTTTAGCAAACTTTTAAAATTTGTAATAAAGTGGAAGGTGAGATCCTGCCATACACTGGAATGTGTCTGGTGGCCAAAGCACAGCCAAATTCTGTGAAACTTCCAGCAGCAGAGGTGGGGTGGAGAGAGGCCTTGCTGGAGGGGGTCTGTGGGTGCTGGGCGGTGGTGTTTCCAGCCACAGAACATCACCCCATGTGTGGTTTGCCAGAGGAATGTGGTCAGCAAGCTCTGGGAAACTGTTGTAGCCAGTGCAGGGGTGGCCCCCAGTAAGGAAGGATGTGGAGTAACTGGAGAGCAGTTGGAAGGAGCCTGTTGACCTCTCCTGGGCATGGGCCCAAGGGGAGGAGGTTCTGGGGTGTCTAAAAGCAGCCTTTTAGACAGCCCTTCTTGAAGGGCAGTTCCAAACTGGAGGGAGCCAACCCTCCTGTGGTGCCAGGTGTGTCCCAAGGTGGGGCTTCCATGTGCAGATTGGGAAAAGGAGCTGTTCAGTGCCCAGCAGGGTGGGACAGCCCCAGGCCAGGCACCCAGAGGAGCTGAGGTCTGTCTGTCCTTGGAGATGTTCAGTCCTTGAGTGAGGGACAACCATCCCTCCTTCACTCAAGGCTCAAAGGAAGTCCTGAGCAGCAGGATCAGGTAGCCCTGCTGGGAGCAGATTTGCGAGACAGGAGGCTTCAGAGGTTCCTCCTGAGAGAAATCCTTCAGTACAACAGCCAAACTCCAGTTCTTTACCTGCTGGAGCCCCTGCACAGGTAACAAAGGGCTGATCAAAGCTGCTGTGGGAGCTGAACCCTGCCCAGCACAGGCCTCTGCTGTGGAGATGTCCCTGTGCCACTGACTGTCCAGCAGGAAGGTAATTCCTGGGAGAGAGGTCAAGAGGGGCTTGGAGCACCAACCAGCCACCACCCTGGTGTGCTCAGCCTCCTTAGGGAGTGACCACTCTGTGCCCCTCTGGCAGCCAAGAGGGTGTCCTGGGAATGGCCCCTCCAGGCCCTCTGGGGCTCAGAGCTCCAGGTTGTCCCCTGAGGACACTGAGATAATTCATGGCAGTGTTCCTTGATGGAGGAGGCCATGAGCTGCCCTGGGAGATCAGCAGGGGGGTGACTGATTGTCCTTCACCAAGCCTGGCCCTCCCACGGAGGGGAGAGGGAGCCCTGATTGCTGCCTGTCCCCTCCTCACCTGACCAGTGACTTATGTGGGGGTCCCTGGCTTGGGGACACTGGAGGCCTTGGGTCAGATGTGCTGGCTGGAGATACCAAATCCTGGAATGGTTTGGGTTGGAAGGAACCTTAAGTCCATCCAGCTTCAATCCCCTGCCACGGGCAGGGACACCTTCCACTAGCCCAGGTTGCTCATTGTCACCTGGTGTAGACCCTCTCTGGCCAAGCACCCCTTTGTCCCTGTGGTGGCGAGGAGGGCACCAGGAAAGGTTGTGCCCCCTCGGGCTGGCACCGTCACAGACCTCCTGAGGTGCTGAGCAGGTGCTGGATCAGCTCCACTGCAGGTTCCTTCTCCCATTGGGCAGAGGAAGAGGAAGGTCCAAGAGCAGGTCTCAGCTTGGAAGCTCTGCCTGCCCCGTGCTGTCAAGGGGGGAGGGGTGGGGCTGATCCAGTCTCACCTGCCCCCGAGGTGCTGCTCAGGCACTGGGGGTCACTGGTGCTGGGGAGTGTACCAACCACAGACTGGGGATGCTGGGGGGGCCTTGAGCCCCCCCAGTCTGAGCATGACCCTTAGAGCTCCTCTCTGCTCAAACCAGGCTGAGCTGAACCTGCCCCCTCCAGCCCGGGCTGCTGTGGGGTTTGCTTGTTAAAGCTCTGCCCGTGCTGATGGGAACGGGCTGAGCTGCAGAGCTCAGGAGGGACAGGACGGGGCCGGGGCTTGTCCCCCTCCCCACTCCCTGCCCCATCCTGCCTTCCCTCACACCCCTACCTCCTTCTGCCCCCCCCCCCCTTCTGCCCCAAAGTGACAAAAAGCAGGGCAGGGCTGGTGTAGAGAGTGTCCAGGTGGGCTCTGGTGTGGGCAGGAGGGACCCGTGTCACCCTCCCTTTGTAACTCACCGCAGAAAACACCCCAGGAACGTCCCGGCCAGACAAAGCAGCTGCTCCCATGGTTTGGGTTTGGGCTGCAGAGCTGCCCCTGGACACCCAAAGGTGGACATGGAAGCCCTGGGGTCAGAAGGGTGCAGGCACAGGGGGGCTGGAGGCAGGGGCTTGGAAAAGAGGGAGAGGGGACAGAGACTGGCACAGCTCCCTGGAGCCGGGGCTGGGACACCGGGATTCACCGTGGGAGGGGCTGGGAGGAGGAGGGGTGTGAGGGTGCCCCTGGGGGATGCAAGGAGCCCCCCTGAGTGCTGACTGCACCAGGAGGGGGCTGGAGCCTGATGCCAGGGGGCACAGGAGGGACTTGCTGGAGTGGTAACACAAAATGGGCCCAAAAGGTCTAAATGGGGGTGAGTCATCCTGGAAAAGGGTGAGGGATGTGAAGTGAAACCACCAGCCTGGTCTTTTTAGCAACATCCACCACCTGGGGCTCAGAGCCCCTGTTCCCCCCCAGGATGGCCCCTCCTGTGGATACCTGGGGCTGTGCTGCCTCCCCCCCCCGGCTGGGCTTTCCCTTCCCCGGTGCGGTGCCCCCCCCCCCCCCCCCAGCTGCAATTAACAGGAGTTATTTGGGGCTTCTCTCTCCAAAAATTGTTTCATTATCCCCAGGGGGTATATAGCCTTGCAGCATCCCCTGAAATCAGAGCAACTCATGGGGGGGTCGTGGCTCGGGTGCTTCCTGAGGTGATATTGCCCACGCACTGGGGATGGGCTAGAACTGCCCTGTGCCCCCACTGCCGTGGGCACCAGCACCCCTGGTCTCAGTACCCTCCCCTGGGACCCCCCTTGGCTCCAGGGCTGGGTTCCCACAGCCAAAATCTGCACCAGACTCGGGACTAGTGAGGGGCTCAATCCCAGCTGGGGGGTGGTACTGGATGGGGGGCTCTGATAATGGTCAGGGGCCCTGATACTGGTTGGGAGCCTGGTACCAGCTCCAGTACAGTCCAGAGGGGCTCCGGGGCTGGCTGGGGACCAACTCGGGGCTGAGGACCACTCAAGGACTCGGTACCAGCTGAGGGGGCTCTGTACAGCCTGGGGGGCTCCAATTCCAGCTGGGAAGCCTGATAATGATGTGGAAGGGTTTGGTACCAGCTGGAGGGGCTGGTACTGCTGTGTGTGGAGGGAGTCCTGCACCGTCTGGGGGGCAGTAGTGCCTGGAGAGGGTCTGCTTTTGGCCTGGGGGGTCCAGACCTCGGAGGCTCCAGTACTGACTGGGGGGATCAAGTCCTGGTGCTCCTGTACTGTCTGGGCTGGGGGAGGACACCGTCCGATGCTGCCTGGGGGGTCTGGCACTGGCTCGTCCAGCCCAGT